CAATGCATTTTACTACAGTTACTTGCTAGGCCGCCATTACTCTGGCAAGAACATGCGTGGGTGCCGGCAGCGTCAAAAACATCAAAGGAGTGAGCCATCTATTCGTTTCCTAATCTATGCTGAAATTCTGAATGCACATTGTCTTTTAAAAGCCATTAATTTATTGGGCTAGAAGGTAATGCTGTATGAGGATAAGCGCTGAAATCAGAGGATAAGTGTTGAAATCAGAGGATGAGCGCTGAAATCAAAGGATAAGTTCTGAAATCAGAGGATAAGTGCTGAAATCAGAGGATAAGTGCTGAAATCAAAGGATAAGTGCTGAAATCAGAGGATAAGTGCTGAAATCAGAGGATATGTACTGAAATCAGAGCACAGGCACCTTCTACCACAATGGCGATGCATGTTATATATTGTGTCATAAATATAAAGTAGTTACTGCAGTTACTGTACTGTTACTGTTTGAGATCTCGTCCATTTCAAACGAGATCTCTGCAATAATAAATTTCTACTGTAAAAATAATTTCGTGCCAAGAGCTTCCTTTGTTGGCCGGACTCTCAATAAATGGGCCACAGTAGTCCGGATAAGCCAGTTTGACTATGCTGAATTATTTGTATATTATGGATAAAAACATCACCAAATACTAAGTTCAGGCTTTCTGGCACCCTTGTGTAGAAAAGTAGGATAAAAGTAGGATAAAAGTAGGACAAGAATTTTAGGAAAAGTAGGGCTAAAGTAGGAAAATGTGTAGAAAAGTAGGACAAAAGTAGGAGTTTTTGGAGATGCAAATAACACAAAAATATACAAAATTGGACCCCTGGGATATATGTGGTAAGGGGTGGACCATTAGATATCTGATGGGAAAGTGTGAATTTTTGGTACTCAATATTTGTTTGTACTCATTCATCTATGCAGGACTTTTCTCTCAAAACTTTTGAAATTAGATAATTATACTGACAATGAATGTTGCATCGGTATAAAAGCTAAGGCATCTGCTCTGTCCAGAGCAACACAATTCAAAATGCGTTATGTGTGCGAGTGCATGTATTTGGCTCTGCCATACACCAATCCACACTGTGCGGCAAGAGCATATGACGCTTGATTAACTGAGGGGAGGTTTTGAATATTTGGAATCTCTAGATCGTCAGAAATGGCATTTTCAGAATCTTCATTTAATTAATTTATTATGATTCTAAAGATGCTATATATGGAATTTTATACTCGGAAAATGTACTTCTTTGTTTCTTGATATCTTATCATCTGGGACACAAATAGGGAACAAAGATTACATGCCCTATAGGTAAACAAAGAGTTAAAACATGAACATATTGATTCCCCAAGCTGTCTTAAAAAAGTAGGATTTTATGGAAAAAAGTAGGAAAATCTAGCAATTTTTAATAAAAAATAGGAAAAGTAGTAAAGTTGAAGAAAAGTAGGAAAAAGTAGGAAAAGTAGGATGGCAAGAAAGTCTGTAAGTTGAACGACTGATGCTAGGATCATGTAAATAGGACATGGGTGTCAGATGCTCAAGCTATCCTCATTAACCTGGTTTCATGCAAGTGACTTGGGCTAACTGCGAACTGGATGTTTTCTCCTACACCATTAAATATTCACAGATAGTCTCACTAACCCAATGAGTGCCAGAACAGCCACTCTGACGAGTAAAATTGTCTGCTGTCAGACAGAGTATAAAATAACAAAGTAGGGTGCGAGCAATGCCGGTTAAGGTTTAAATGGCTTTCCTAAAACTCATTCATTTTCTTACAAAGACCAAAATCATATTTTGCCAAGCAACTACATGTACTAGACATTATTGAATAGAGCTAAACATTTGAATAAAAAACCCCTTCAAAAAGCAGAATTTGACACATATATTATCAATCCTGACCTATCGTATGTCGAAGCCTTAGATATTGCATGTCTGAATGTTGTAGTCATAGATATCTTATATACACTAGATAGTGTATCTAATTATTCTGCAATTCAAAAATTGAAGCCGTGATTGCAGTCTCAGGTCGTTCCCATGAAATGAGGAGTTTCGTATGTTTTCTATTTCTTAAACAGGGAACTTAAACAATAAGTTAACCCTATTCCAAATACGTTTTTAAGCTCTTCAAATAATGAAAGTTAGTGTTGTTTTTAAGCGTTTATTAACAAGTGGGAACGACCAACATGGCCGCCATCTATTCAAATGGGGGTAACCGCTGGAATATTCTCGGCTTCAATTTTACTAAATGAGATGCGCTATCTAGTGTATGTAAGATATCTATGGTTGTAGTAAGTCATATATATGCATGAATCTTGTACGAAGTTTGTTTAGTAAATTGAAGAAATGTAAATCACCTAGCTACAACCCACTCGTTAATATTGTTAAAGGAGTGCCTAATATGAACCAACCAATGAACACAACTAATAACCCACCTAAGTCACTTATACGTACAGAACAATTTAAGAACTTTATTACAATTATATACAATTAATAACTTTATCATTCATAATTTTGTAATTTTATTTTATATTGTAATGATATTTTTTAACTTAGGTGTAATTTAATTCACTATTGTGCAATGGTCAGTGTTTTACTGCAATGCGATTTCAATAAACAGACTTAATAATAAAATATGGCAGTTTTTTTACTCAGGCCTAATGTCGCGTTTATATGGAAAATTTGGTAATCGTTCCATGTTTCGCGCACCAATATAGTAAACGTTATGTAATGGATATTATAGTGTACTGAAAAGTTAACTGGATACCTCCATACACATATACACACACCCTAACCCTAAACCTAACCCCTAACCTAACCCCTAATACCTAACCCCTAACCCTAACTTATATTGGTGCGCGAAACATGGAATGATAACCGAAAATTTGCATCCCTATTGGGCAATATCTTTGGTAGCAGCCTTTGTGATAGGCTATTTTTGCCTGGGCAAAATCAGCCATTTTTTTTCAAGGTAAGTCAGAAATTCTCAATATGCCTCTACAATTGCTGAGTGCCGAGGCAATTTATGAAGGCTGGGTATAAGTCAGTAGCGAGATCTCATGTAAGAGGCTTTGGCTCTCCTATCAAAGCAATTTTCAATAGGAATTCAATTAATCTGTTGGCTCTCCTATCAAAGCAATTTTCAATAGGAATTTCAATTAATCTGAATACAACCCCTAAATATTGGTATGGCATTAATACAGATTCATGCACACAATTTTCATTTTCTATAAACTCAAGTCACATTGGTTTAAAATAAAGTAACCTTGATGCATAATATAGGAATAACTATGTGTTATTTATTTATAAGCAATTAAATCTGACGGCAAATTAAGACTGTTAGATTTAAAAGATCTCTATAATATTCCGCTACATTTCAGAGTCTATTCTCTATTGAACGACAATGGCAAGGCGTGAATGACAAAGAAACAGAATCGAAATCATACCCAACTCTATTTATGCTTTAAAACACGGCCATATTTCTTGTTTTAAAACGACAAAAAACGATTCCTCGAATAAAGCTCCGCAACCGAATGCAGCCATTTTTGTGCAACTGTTATTTATTTTCATTGGAGAAATTAATATCCGTTAAAAACCCTCGAATTCCAAACGCAAAACGATACCCTTGTGAACATAGAACACGCACAAAACTAACAAAATATCAAAGAATAAGACTCGATAAACCCTACCTTTGCTTTTTTGGCCGTTGTCATTCGATGTTACAGCTTTTTGGGACGATGTTTCGTCGACGTTTGCTTTGGGGGTCCTCTCGTCCGTCGAAGTTGATCGCCTCGATCCTCTTCGAGTTTTAGATTTGCCGTCCACAACCTTGAAACGGTTAAAACATATAAATTACACCAAAGAAACATCTCGTTTTACAGCAAACAATACACTTACATGGCTCCACGATCGCTTGTTTTCCTCGGGTAGTTTTTGCCAACGTTTTACCAACAAAACGCAAGCGTTACAAATCAGGCCCGTTCGGGAACCTTGCTCGACCTCGAAGCAAGCGGTGAAAAGATTTTCGTATTTTTCCGTCGGAGTAAAACGAGAACTCGACGATTTCGAGCCACAAATGCAACAACCGCTACTGGAACGATAGATTTTCGGTTTGTGCGAGCCGAACATCGCGTGTAACTTGCTTTTTTCTTCGTTTTAAAGGTTGTTCCTGAAAAAAATATCTCGATCCTTTGAAACTTGACATGCAAGAAAGGGGGAGGTCCCTGAAAAAAACAAACATACTGCGCATGAGCGGAAGTTAGATATGAGTTTTCCCTGAAAGGTCAGTGTTACCGCATGTACGGTGCGCATTTCATGCAACTTGCCTCTCGTTGCCAACGTAGAAAATTCAATTTATGTTCACATGAGAAACGAGCCAGCTCAGCTAGGTGAGATCTCGTAATGGTTGAAAAGTCGCTGCAATTGTAGAACCTCGTGTACTTCTGTTTGCGCAACGCTAGGTGTAACCATAGCCTGGGGGAGATGGCTGTGAAACTCATTAGAATAACAATATAACTCACTATCTATGTTAGTCAACGTTTATTTAGAAATATGGTCCTTCACCGTCACGTGTGTATTGTATTTTTGCCCAACTAACCAATAGAATTTTTTTAGGAAACAGTACCTATCTGTGACTGGAACAATAGGGTAAATTGGAAATGGCTATTGGTGGATTTGGCAAAAATACAATACACACGTGACGGTGAAGGACCATATTTATGAATAAACGTTGACTAACATAGATAATGAGTTACATTGTTATTCTAATGAGTTTCACAGCCATCTCCCCTTCGATAGGCTATGGTGTAACTAGTTTCGCAATCATTTTGACAATAGCAAAATTACAAGACGGAATGGTCATGCAACTTATGGCTTGCGTGCAAAGCGAGACAAGTTGTACGAAAAATCGCATCGCGTACGAACTTTGCGCAGCACTCCCAGTCTGCTAAAGTTGTTCGGCAATGAAAAATTGAGTCACCAGTTTTCGCATTGATGCGCGGCAAATGGTCTCCCTCTCAGCCGCTCTTCGTGTCGTTCTTTGACAAAAACATGCCGCATGTTGCAGAGTCAAAGCCCACTATTGACTTGCCTTCCAATATTTCTTGAAAATCGATCAATCACGGAACAGACTAGAATCATTGGGACATATTTTAACCAATTTCCATTCCCCCGTCCTCTATTCAATGTTGTGCCCCAGTTACCATAATATATTGACGCGCTTTAGTCTGCATTAGGAAAACACCTTTGGAGGAAACGAATGTCCACAACGATCCACCTCCACAACACAACATTATCAAGCTCGTCTACCTTTTGCATATGAAGGAAAGACAAAATTAAAGCACAAATGCGCGTTCGTGCTTTCGTTTGGACTCCAGATTGGTCAACATGTATAACAAATTTTCATTGTTTTAACATGTACCTGGCTACTTTGGTACTCTTGACTGCCTCTTGATGCGCACTTGGGGACTGTTTTGCGCACCTGCACTTAGAATTTCTAATAACATTTACGCACTACGCACCCATGATCACTTCGAAAAGTTCCTAACTATTGTTGCGAGCCGATCCCTTACTTTATTTGGCCGCTCTGGATCTATATTTACTCGCAACAAACGAAAATAACTCCAAGCTTTTTACTTTTTGGATGTATATTTTACTAGCAAAGCATTAGTTATATTAAGCTATATGGTTAATTAATCTATACAGTAAAACTTATCTGTCCGAGTGAGCATTGCAACTTCATAGCAACAGTACAGAAGTTCATCATTGTAATATATCAGTCCAGTCGATTATCCACAAAATATCCATGTTGTCGTCTTTGTATCAGCGCGTTAAAGCAGCGTCTTCAGCCATGGGGTCTTCCTGAGAGTTGAGTCTCGTTACGTATTTTCGTTCACTGATGCGTGAAGCTTCTTTTATAGTATTCGTCAGAGGATGATTTTGTCATCTTGACGCATATCCTTTACGTCGTGGTCGTTGGTAGAAACTTCTCTGACCACATTCATGCACAATTCTGTCCCTTCCGCCATGGAGTCTTCTAGAAAGTTGAGTCTCGTTTAGTTTGTTTTCGTTCACAGATGCGTGAAACAACTTCTATAGTATTGGTCAGAAGATGATTTTGTCACCTTGACGCATATCGTAGTCGTTGGTAGAAACTTCTCTGATCACATTCCCAGCCGCGGCGCCACGGAGTCTTCTAGAAAGTTAAGTCTCGTTTAGTCTTGTTTTCGTTCACTGATGCGTGAAGCTTCTTTTACAGTATGGATGAGAGGATGATTTTCTCATCTTGACGCATATCCGTTGGTAGAAACTTCTCTGAACACATTCATGCACAATTATGTCCGTTGACGTTATTTCGTCTTTGTGCTCACTCGTGCGTGTATGACGACTAATCAGTAGAATTGAGCAATTTTTTCATCTATATTATTATAATAGTAAGAGTATATATGAAAATTACATGACATTGCTTATCATGTTTCACAATGAGCCTGGTTTCTATGGTGGTAAAAATAGAGTAACGATCTTTCTCAACGGTCAGTTTATTATAGTTTATACCTGTAAACCACATATAAATCATAAGTATTCTCTAGTTATAATCACTCCGCGTATTTTCAGTTCTAAAATGTTGTACCTCGGCTGATGAGAAAGATCGTGTCTCAATCTTTACGACCGTTAAGACCATATGAAAACCAGGCTTACGCAGTCTGGCCAATGCAGTAGTGTTTACTTGGAAGTAAATAAATGGAGAGATGTAGTTAAATTTTCTTGCAACGTATCAACATTTCACTACCATCTACTGCTCTGTAAAGTTTCCTGAAACCTGCCCCCATAGACATAGTCCACAATGCATTGCGATTCAGAGGTTGGTCAACTAAGGTCAAAACTCAGTTGAAGTCTAATGTTATTACAATATTACAATATTACAACAAAGCAAACCAATCTTGTTTTTAAACGAACGTTAATGGAACAAAATTACAATAATCTGCGGTATATTTATATGCTACATCAGCTATGATTTCAAATTTGTGCAAATGAAGTGTCTAGTGCATTAAGTATTTGTGGACATAAGCGTACGACTGTACGAGGCGGCTGTACGGGGAGGGGGCAGGGAACAGTCCACCAGTGAAATTGGGCAGAGTGATGGGGGAAATATCTAATAGTCGAAAATGCAAGAAACGTGCAAAGTTTTGAAAGATTTTAACTGCTTGGAAAATGTTCTAATTCCCCGTCGACAATAATTTGGGGATTTTAAACGGATAATATTTTTCGATAAGTCGAGCAAAATTTAAAAATAGTCGGGCAAATTTATCCCCCCCCCCCCGTACGCCTATATGTCTATACACTTTACGTCTAACTACATGGTTGGAAATTGGTCATTTAATTAATACGTACCAGGAATAATTCTACTGGTTGAGTCGACAGAACAGGACAGATAAATTAAGGTTGTCTCATGTGAACGTTCAAAATTGTGGCAGAAACCAATGACCTGTCCGCCATCTTGGATTAGTCTTATGGGTAAATTCTAAGTTCTGAATGGCCGTTTTTATACTAGAGACGCATTATGCGATTGGACGCATAATCCGTCTTCTATATTATTCGTCTAGTATAAAGACGGGACGAATAATCCGACGAACTATCAGCATTTAGTATAATTACATAGGTGATTATTGAAAATTCTCCACGTTGATTGGTTGCCGTTGAGGTGATTATCACGCGATAATCACCTAAGCGATTTTCAAAATGGCGGCCGAAGCCTTTTTGTCAATTAAATGACGAAGAAATGTGTATTTTCTTATTTTTTCCCAAATAATCACCTATGAAATTATAATAAACAATTATTCACCTCAGGCTCGGTGATTATCGTGAATAAAAACCTCGACTTCGTCTCGGTTTTTATTCACCGATAATCACCTCGCCTAGCTTCGGCGAATAATTGTTAATTATTGTTCGTCTGCCAATGATTTGTAAGAAATGTTGAGGGAACTGACTCAAGTGTTTAACATTGAGTGAGTTCCCTCAAACATTTCTTACAAATCCTTCGAATACTGTGATCACACAAACTTTGATAGTATAAACAAGCTTTTAGCCATGAAAAACTACTCCCATATAAATGGAAAGGATTTCAAGTTTTTTTCTCATTTTCATGCACGTGTTGAAGAAGGATGTTCTGCTTCTCTGTGCGTAGCCCATGAGAAAAAAACTTGAAATCCTTTCCATTTAAGGTGGTCCTAAGTTGAAAACAGTGTAGCTGTGACGTAATTATCGAAAGGATGTATTTTTGAAATAATGACCAAAGTATAATTTTGGGCCAATAATGACCATTGTATATCTGGGTAAAATATTTACGTGTCCCTACTTGTGACGTAACGTGCATATCCACAATAATCCAAGATGGCGGCCAACTCACCGATTTATGATGATTTTAGTCAAAATATTTTGTAAAATAGTTTTCCGCATAATTTTAAAAGTTCTTTCAAATGAAACAAACTAAATTTCAATTGCCATATTCCTTTTAACTTTCGCGTGTACCCAACAAAAGACGTCTATCTCCAAGATAATTGACTATATACATCCTTGTGATTTCGGTTCTGTGGAGATTTTAAAACATACCAAAACCTTGTAACTGGCAGGTCCTGTTCTTATTCCGTTTAGTTTTGCGCCATTCATCTATCGGTGTAAATTTTTAGCGCTTTTTCTTTCGGTTTGTACGATGTTTTGCTCAGGGTGGTCGCGGATCTACAACGTAGAAAGAACGTTAGCTTTTTAGCAAACGACGTTTTTGACAATACGGACACAGAATAGAGACATACAGAAAGCCGACTTATTGGCTACGCCCACGAGTTTAATAAGCAAGCGACATTTCTGACAACACGGACTCAGAATAAAGGCATACAGACAGTCGACTTCTGGCTACGCCCAAGAGTTTAATAAGCAAACGACGTTTTTGACAATACGGACACAGAATAAAGACATACAGAAAGTTGACTTCTTGGCTACGTCCACGCGTTTAATAAGCAAGGGACGTTCTTGACAACACGGACACAGAATAAAGACATACAGACAGTCGACTTCTTGGCTACGCCCAAGAGTTTAATAAGCAAACGTTCTTGACAACACAGACACAGAATAAAGACATACAGAAAGTCGACTTCTTGGCTACGCCCACGAGTTTAATGAGCAAACGACGTTTTTGACAACACGGACACAGAATAAAGACAAACAGAAAGTTGACGACGTTTTTGACAACACAGACACAGAATAAAGACATACAGAAAGTCGACTTCTTGGCTACGCCCGCGAGTTTAATGAGCAAGGGACGTTACAACAACACGGACACAGAACAAAGACATACAGAACGTCGACTTCTTGGTCACGCCCACGAGTTTAATAAGCAAACGAAGTTTTTGACAACACGGACACAGAATAGAGACATACAGAACGTCGACTTCTTGGCCACGCCCATGATTTTGGCGTAACTGTTGCAATGCAGTCGCCACGTTCCTATAGCCAGTGCGCTTACAAGAGGAATTCACACCCCTCTGAAAATATTCAGGTGAATGCCTCCCGTAAGCGCACAGGCACAGATTAAGTATATACCAGGGGCCAGTTGTTCAAAGCTGGGTTAGTTTAACCCTAGGTTAACCTAAAATTCAAAGCAAACTTCGTGACAGCTTGTCTGTAAATTTGAAAATATTTCTTCAGTGATCTTGTCTGGATCAGTAGGAGTTTACTTCTCTGACGTGTTAAAATAAACAGACATGCAGAAATACACAAACTAAAACAGCAGGTTAAATTTTAACGCAAGCGCTAACCCACCTTTGAACAACCGGCCCCACTGATGTGTAACTTCATAGGACTTCGTGTCCTCAAATTTCCCTAGATGTACACGTCATGCTCACGCCATGACACTTGCTATTGCGGCTTTTTTGGATCGAAATTTTTGGATTAAACAATCAATGTTGAATGTTTAAAGTTGTTGAAAGCAATTAAAGTTGTTGAAAAGGTCTTATTAAAGCATTTCTGAAAGCAAGACGTATCACCAAATGACGGAATTATCACGCGAGCGACACTTGCTAGGAAGTTGGCGACCGTTGGACAACTTTTTTATTGAAGTTACACATCTGTACCATTCTCGTTCCCAGAGCCATTTTCACTCGTTGAAAATTAGGCTCTGGGTTAGACGACTAAAGGGAGAGATCTGATTGGCTTCTCAGAGAACTGCTATTTCGCAGAAGTTGAGTCGTTTTGGGGGTAGTCAAAATTATTCTATCAAAATATGTCAACAGAAATACTTCGTTTCTTTGTAATACTTCTCTCAGTCGAAAATTGTTACGGGTGCTAAAGCGTCCCAATTCAAGAGTATGCGCTTTAGAAACTACTGCAAGTTTTCTTGCACTTCCGGTTCCATGTATCCCAGGGACCATGAAGGTCGCGCGCGGCCGAGAGGCCCTGAGAACGAGGATGCATCTGTACATACTTCAATCTCGTACCCAGCACCTAACCTGCGAACGGGCATACTCTGGATTACGGCATCAGCAGTTCTTGTTACAAATCAAGAAGGACAGTGAATGTAGTTGCATATGTTACAACACACTATACTAAACATACGAAGAATCAACTAAAATACCAATGAATCATTAGGATACGAACCTTGCACTTTCCGCCTTTTTTATTTCATTTCGCTTTTCATCAGATAGTTCCATCAAAGTTTCAGTTTTGTCTCTGAAAAGATGGAGAAATTTTTCAACATATACGAGAACAACTTCTGTGTCATATTTTTCCCCCGGCTCTGTGGAGTCCGTGCAGTAAGGGACTGAAACTCTGAACCATAGACGGATTTTCATATTTATTACTGGGGTGGTGCCAGAAATTTTAGGGGGGTGAGCCGTGAGCAGGTGACTGAAGCGACACAAAGTGTCACCAAACCCCAGTAAGGTCTATATTCTAGGGGTGGAGCACTAGAGCCGCGAGGGGGAGTCTAGAGAGCAGAAAACAAAGTATCCCAGAAAAAATTTTAAAAAATCATTATTTCTAGCTTCGAAAAAAAGTTTTTTGAAGTTGTCAATTTCTCATATAAATGGATTTGGCATGTCCGATTGTCTGTTAAGATTTGAGAGAGTTAAAGACTTAAAGTTAAATGAACCTATAAAAGTGTAAACCCAATAGGCCAATACACAATATGCTTTTACTTTTATAAGGTAATTGACATTGTGTTGTTTGAATCCGAGTACAATTTATGATGCAGGTGACTCCGACGTAAATAATATTTGGGGCGTAAAAATTAAATCTAGGCAAGTCTATTTCCTAAAAGAATTAAAAACTAAAAATAGTGTTCGTAAAAATTCCAAACGTTCCTTGCGTGCAAGGCACTGCAAACTCTATTCAGGGGAGATAATAGAGTTTCAAAACTTTACAATTGCTCCAATAAACCAGTTACTGCAAGCGAGGAGCAATTAGTTTCAGAGTGTTGCACTGTCTTTTTCTGTTTGAGTGTACTCCTACGTTTATTTTGCATCATCAACACTCTGCACGTTGGAGTGGACTATTTAATTCTTTATTATGCCGAATATTGGAGGGGGGGGGGGTTGAAAATTTTTTGGAGGGGTGAACATTTTGTTTGGGGGGTTATAGCTAATATTGGAGGGGTACCCCCCCCCCCCAGAAAATCCGTCTATGACTGGACCGCTAGGAAGAAGAGATTAGAACTGATAGAGCTATCCAGTATAAATAAAGTTAGTTTAGTTTAGGTTTCCTCCTGTAGTGACACTGGATCAATAAGAGATGATCCTTACTGGACCTCTAGAAAGAACAGTTTAGAACAGATAGAGCTATCCAGTATAAATAAAGTCAGTTGAGTTTAGGTTTCCTCCTGAAGTAACACTGGTTCAACAAGAGATTACTCTTACTGGACCTCTAGAAAGAACAGTTTAGAACAGATAGAGCTATCCAGTATAAATAAAGTTAGTTTAGTTTAGATTTCCTCCTGTAGTAACACTGGATCAATAAGAGATGATCCTTACTGGACCTCTAGAAACAACAGTTTAGAACTGATAGAGCTATCCAGTATAAATAAAAGACAGTTTATAGTTTGCATAAATGTTTATTCGATCGTTATTTAATCATGTTTAGCTTTATGAAACCTGAACCTAAACGAACCAAAGTGAAAACAACGACGAGCTCCGACAGCAGTGGTTCGAATGTTTCCGTAACAACGAACGTTAGTCGAGCCGTGACGAAACCACCGAGGCCAGCGAAAGCTCCACCCGCTCCACCTGTACTTAATGGCGATGGAACGCTGCCTGAATTTCCTTGCAAAGTCTGTGGAAGGTAAGAGAGGGGTGTTTGCATCAGGCGTAGTGAATTGCAGAAGTCACAGTGGTGTAACTTAATTATTTTTATCACTTGCCATCAAGGCAAGTTAGACATTAAAATTGCTTGCCCCCAATAAAATTCGCTTGCCATCAGGTCTAGTTTTGCTCTCACATATTAAAAGCACAGTTCAGCCTTTTGATTGATGTTTTTTAAAGCGCATTTCAGCCCGTAGATTGATGTTTTAAAATGTTAAAATCGTTTTTTGCAATTAAAAGGGCTGAAATACACCTTAAAAACCATCGTTGAAAATGCTGAACTCTGCCTTTAAGAAAATTTGAAGCAAATGATCGCAGTAAGGATTGATCACAGGATTGATTAATCAACATTTTAGTCTTATGTTTCTCTTAAAAAAATCATTTGAAGATTTAATCGTGATTATGAAGTGTTCATTTCAATTTTGTGTAGCAATTAATTTCTGGCGAAACATTCGGTTTCCTTGATTTGGTTAAGACTATAGATTATCAAAGTCGCAATAAAACAGACCATTTTCGTTTCCCCTAAGAAAGATCTTAAAATATGTCTTGCACACACATAAAAACACACAAGTTGTAACAAACCTACAGCAGACTTGTAGCAATGCTGTTCCAACAACTTGTCAACAGGATGTGTTCGCACTGCTTGTTCCCAGCTTGTTAACAACTTGCTACAAGGTTCTTAAGCTCAACAGACTTGTTTCAAGTTGTTCCAAGAACTTGTTATCGTCCTGCAATTCACCAATTTGTTAACAACTTGTGAGTGACAACTTTGTAGCAACTTGATAAAATAACAACATTGTTACAACTCGCTGACAAGCTTGCTACAAGCCTGTTGTGAACACATCTTGTTGACAAGTTGTGAAATTTGTGCGTATTGTGGACGCAAGTTAGGATGGTATCAAATTTAATACATTTGAATTTTTTTAGAATATTCCACAAGATCAAAAGTCGTTCGGCTCACATGAAGACGCACGTGAAACGAAATGATGACGATACCAAATCAAAATCATAACTCAAGGTATCCTTATCCATCCCGTATTCACCCTCGTCTGTTGCGGGTGGAACGCCTGCGTGCAGGCTAAACTGCTGATGTTGGTTGAAAGATTTAAAAGTTGGTCATATTCCATACGTAATCATAGCTTTATTATTCCCTTATTCGCTAGAGCCAGGGAATATTAAACATTTCAATGAACATAACTCAAAGTTAAACCTGTATATTGTGGTAAGAATTCCTGTCCACATAATTACCCGTTTTTCATTTTATCCAGAAAAAGTTCCCTGTCATGTCACTCAGCGCATGCGTACATTATTTTCAAGTAAAATTTTAATATAAAATTTAAAAATTACGTCCGCTAATTCAACATAATTATATAAAACGTTACTTTTATACCGATTTTGTAAAATGTATATAGTCAAAAAGTTCCATATTGACAATGGGTGTGAATATATTGTATATAGTTATATAAATATGGTTCTATTTACATTATGTATATGAATATAAGCCATAAACGGTTATTTCACGTCAAGTCGACATTAATACAGTTCGTCCGTTGCGTCGGGACGTAAGTTTAGAAGCGCGTTCGCTCGATTATTCTTACGTTCGGTTTGTTTGCCCAATTTGATGGCACACACTCCTCCCTTTGAGAGAAGTTTTCCATTAAAAAAGTTCTGGTGTTTGCCAGAGTAAAATGCTTTTCTCAACATAACATACCTACAACCGATATAGCAATTAACAGACCGAATGTGGTGCATTTTCCCGCGCGTAATACAAATTAATACAAAATTTCGCAGGGCTATATTTTCCGCATTTTACAACATTTCGCAACCAAACTTTGCAATTTTACTAATTTTAACATGCTCTTTCTAGCTGTGATGATGGATTTTGTTCTTCTCGCCTAGATCAAAATTTAGCCTATAACTGGAATCATTAGGCATTGCATTGTTTGTTTTTTTTCAAGACTCGTGGAGAGCATGTTCCATGTTGGATATTCTCTATTTTCACGTTATTTTTGACAATGAACCTCCAGTCCAACAAATTAACGTTTTCTGTCAATTTGGGCAAACAAATATGGCTGGCTATCATATGCTCTGATTTGTAATATATAACTAAATATTCAAACTAGGCCATTGAACTCAGAAAACCAATTTTCTCTGAACAGAAATAATTTAAAGCTATACATTTCGAGGAAATACACCAAAATCTAGCCGTAAAACTAAGAATAGAATTTTTTTTAAAGTTTCTTTGAATCGAGTACAATTTTAGCAAAGTCTGTGTAAGGCCTTGACGTTTACACTAAGTTTCTGTGATCACAGTAGGAATTTTGTATGGGTAAATTCTAAGTTTTGAAGGATTTGTAAGAAATGTTTGATGGACTGGCTTAGTGCTTAACATTTCTTACAAATCCTTCAAAACTTAGAATTTACCTATGCAAAATTTCTACTGTGATCACAGAAAGGTCAGTTTGACAAAGACGATTCAATAATTGAAGTTAGGCTTTTGTTAGTTTCAAATTAGCCCTGTGTCTGTACACAAGCTTGTTTCAAATTTGAGATTAAAGGAAAATTTTAAGTCCAATACCTAAGGTCGTATCATTATAAGACATTGTGTAGGATATATTGTAAACTTTGTAATTTTACAGTTCATTGAGTTCAATGGTCTAGACTAATTATCATTCTTTTATATCGTAACCAACGATTAAGAAAGAGATATACCGTTATTTTTTGTTTATCCCTATTTTGCATTATTATATTTATATTTGAGATGACGTAGCACACAATGTATTATAGTATTAAGGTGATTCGTGGAAGAGAGAAAATGCTGGTCATTTTATTATAATGTAAGATTAATAAGTAAGTTTATAGATGGTAAATTAAATATTTATTGGGCTGAGTGTGGTGTTGTTTTACTGATAAATAAACGAAATTGATTTGATACTTTGTTAATTGATTTGATAATTTGTTAATTGATTTGATTAGCGTGCGTGATTAATTAATTGCTATTATTGATTAATTAATTTGATTGATTAATATATAGACTTACTTAATTGACTTATTAGGACCATTTATACGATTTTCGCTCGTATAAATGGCCATATTGGTAAGCTTAATTAGCTGACTGACTTAATTGGTCCACTTTGTTTATTGACTTAATTGTGAGTTTAATTGGCTGACTAAATTAATCATTTGTTTAATAGCTTTGTTGGTTAACTTCATTGACTTATTTGGTTCATTTGGTATACTGACTTGATTAACTTACTTGACTGATTGACCTAATTGGTTACTTAATAATTGAGTTGATTCATTAACATTGTCATTGACTATGCTGTGTTCGCACTGCTTGTTCCCAGCTTGTTGACAACTTGCTACAAGGTTGTTGAGCTCAGCAGACTTGTTACAAGTTGTTCCAACAACCCGTCCTGCAATTCAACAATTTGTCAACAAGTTGTGAGTGACAACCTTGTAGCAACTTGATAAAATAACAGCATTATTACAACTTGTTGACAAGCTTGCCTGTTGCGAACGCATCTTGTTGACAAGTTGTGAGATTTTTACGTGTGTAACTGACTTTATTCATTTGGTCAATCTAATTGACAAGATTGATTTGTTAATAGATATAATTGATTGATTTGGGGTGATAATCATTGAGTCATATTATTAATAAGACAATACACCAATCTTACATAAATTATTTTGGCCAACCAAAGGTATCGCAGGCGTTTTTCGTGCAGAATTCAAAATTTCACAAATTCAACATATAAATGGCGTCCAAACACAAACATTGAAATGTAAAAACATTTCCCTGTTTTTCAACGTTTAATCCTACATCCAGAATGATGCAATCTGACTTAAAAGTTAGTTCAAAACCTCCTTTAGCTGCTACCAATGTCTTGCTGAAAAAAAGGCATTCTTTACATGCCGTCGAACCGTTGAAGAGACTCGACCACTTGGTGAGGCGCGGTAGCCATGAACTAATCCGAAAAGAAGAATCGGGCTCCTGGGGAAATCTAAGGCTGCTAGATTCTAAAGAAAGGTCGGCAAGTCTTGCTCAGCTCAAGACAAGCGGCCGTACGCTTAGCGCTAGTAATTTAGCAGCTTTATCGGATTCTAATCTGTCTATTCAAGTGGCCTTGCCGCAACGAAGCTATGAACACACAGGTTCAAAAAGCAACCTGGCGAAACAGGGCTTTGAAGTTGTTGTAAAACGGTATTACGAACAGCTAACGGTCGGCTGTGGCAATGCAAAGTGTTGGAATAAGTTTTGTGCATCGAATGGAACTGTTGCAAAACTAAATTCTCGGCTTGCTAGTTTTGTAAGTATTGAGCTGGCTACATTAGGGAAAGTGTATTTTTGTAAAGAGAGTATGCAGAACGTGCGGACACCTCTCAATGCTTTGTCGTTAACTAATGAACCAAAACCAGTCTCGTTACCTAATGAGCAAAATCTGGCCTCGTTAGATAACGAACATGAACCGGTCTTGTTGTCTAACGAACAAAAACCATGCTTGTTAATTAACGAACATAAACGGGACTTGGTAACTAATGAACGTAAACCGGTCTTGTTAGCTAACGACCCTGAATCAGTCTCCTTAACTTGTGAGCAAAAACCAGTATCATTCTTGCACAAGTTCTTCAGCAGTAGTCCGTTCACATTTCTGTTCTCAAACGAGTCGACTTTGAAGGCAAGCAAGAAGCAGAGATCTGGTTCGTTAAGTGACGTGAGAAGGACCCTAACAATATCTGGCAGCGAAAGTTCATTAAAGTTGAACACAACTAAGAATGATGGTGAAAAACAAAAGAGTGTTACTCAAAAATCTCATGTAAATACAATGTTAGATTCAACCAAAAAAGGGCTTTTGTATGACAAATCACCGTCTCCAACTTTAATTGACCTACAGAATGACATTGAAAGTGTGGACGTTGACGATGCTGTCTTGGAAGAATTTGAAGAACAATGTGTGTTAGAAATGTCATCTAGTAATTTAAGAGAACTTTCGCTGACACACCTAACGTTGCCAATGTTGGAAACATCCGTCGAGAATTATCGACAATGTGGCGATGCCTCATTTATTGTTAACACAATTCGGACAGTCTTCTCATCCCCTGAAGCTCTTAATGCTAGCTTCAACAGGATTTTGACAACAAACGAGCTACAAAGTTCTAAACAAAATGCTAGCTTTGTGATGACGTCACCAACAAGCGAGCGTTGTGAACTCAATTTATCTGCCGTGAGGGAAGCCTACATGTTACTACTTGATCTTGAGCCGAAAGAAACCTTTGTTCAGCCATTGCAGAATTCTGCCGAGATTCATCTCAAAACTTTACAGACATGTAAAGTAGAACCATCAAAAGTGTTGCAATTGGTTATTCTCTTGGAGAACCCACTCGTGTTAGAGAATAATGACCTCCTACAAACGTTTTGCTGTGTCGTCGCCAACCTGGAAACAAGGACAAGGGATTCTTTTGTGGAAGTCCTGGTAGAATATGATCGTATGAGTTTCCAAAGAGTTTTGAAGGTTTGTTAATTTGTTTAAGGTGGCTAATACAGTTTTTAAAAATGGAAAATTTGTGATCCGTATTTTTGGACACAAAAAGTGTCGTACTTATGTAGTATGTAAAACATTAATTAATAACAGCATCTAAAAGTTTTGAAATGTTTCACAAAAGTTATGCACAATTTCTGCTATGGAAACAATGGCATTTAATATGGTGGATATTTTGGCAATAATTTAACTCATAAACAACATCAGTGACCCCCAAACTTTATTTCATAAAATGATTCTTATTAGACTAGTATACTCAATAGACCTTACCAATTATTCTCTTTTTCCCAGACCTTAAAATATCGGTCGGTCACGGACATTGTCCGACCCATTCGTGAAATTGTCCAACGTATAGAGGAAACCACCGGACATTCTGTCCGACCATAGTGAAACTGAGGTTTATTGTTTGTCCGACCTGAGTGTATTGGTGTCAGACCGAACTGTAGCTTTGTCCGACGTAAATCAAAATGTACCCTAGCCCAGGGCTAGAGGCTTGTATGTTAAATGGAAAATCAGAGTACTGTTGTATAAAAGGTGAACTGGAAATGTTGTTTTAACGTAGTCGAGCGCGGGGCGGCGAGCAAAATGGTGAAGTGGAAAATTAACACGCTTAAGTTGTCGAAGTCTTTTTAATACTGCTTTTCTGGAAAGCAAGTTAATTTGGCTTGGAAATAAGTATGAAAGAAACAAATTAATATTTAATATTTTTACAATATTTACATTTAGAATTAATACATTGTGCTGATGTTCATTTGTGTCATTCAGACTTATTTCCGAGTCAAAACTGAACTGAAGGTCATCGGACATATGTCCGACCCAAACTCAACGTCACCGGACATTTTGTCAGACGGCCCTGGAAACGATATTTTAAGGCCTGAATTTTCCTGATGGCCTCGTTTCCATGTCAACTTATTTTAGCATCTCATGGGCAGATAAAGATTACAGTATATTCCATGTTTTCCTCAATGAATTTGTTTCTTGCTGTTCTTAGGCTTACAAAATAGCAAAGTAATTTTCAACCCTACTAAGCACGAAACCTGAGTAAGTATTTGGCATGAAAACGAGGCCAAATGTTCGCTAAAATAGAATAACCAGTAAGGTCAACTATTATTTGTTTGGAGGATTTTTCAAATTATGTGAATGTGATTATTATTCAAGATAATCCAACTTTAGGGTAATTCCATTGTGACTCGTGTTGCATTCTGAACCAAACTATCAGTGAGAGTAATTTTGATCTCGTGCAGGCCTTCAAACAATTATTTCACTTGGACGGACAAATGTCTGGCCAAGCCAAAAATTGGTTGGACATTTATCAATGACTTAATGTTATAGAATTCGTCAATGGGAATTATCAATGTACCAATCTAGAAATTTTTATTCTTGGATTTTTAATTTTTTTCTGTGCATGTACAGTAATATAATTTTTCTGAATAGGCAGTCCAGAGGTTACTCAGCTCTCGTGTCCACACAAGCCAGTGTTCAGAGCCTCACATAATCGCCATTTGTATGATGTTGGCAACACTCCATGAAGTAAATTTTGTCTTGAAGAACAGAGTTCGGTCTCTGGTAGCCATCAGTGAATTTTACAATATTGAACTATCGCAGAAGCTTGACTACAAATTGGAATATGAGAAATGGAGAATTCAAAGCGAAAAATCTCAAGGGTAAGCATTTCTTTGTCACTATTTCTATGTCTAAGTGAACCTATCTTTTTCTTATTGTTAAGTTATGTGTATGCCTACTGTGTACCTATCTTTTAAGGTGTAACTTGCCCAATCGGGCAAGCAAGACAAAACGTTTACTTGCCCATCATCACATTCACTTGCACCGGGCATTTGGGCAAGTGTAATAAGTTACAACTCTGAAGTTGTGACAATGCTGTTCCAACAACTTGTCAACAAGATTTTTCCTCAACAGGCTTGTAGCAAGCTTGTTAACAAGTTGTCACAATGAAGTTCCAACAATTTGTCAACAACATTTTTCCTCAACAAGATTTTTCCTCAACAGGTTTGTAGCAAGCTTGTTAACAAGTTGTGACAATGCTGTTCCAACAACTTCACAACAAGATTTTCCTCAACAAGATTTTTCCTCAACAGGCTTGTAGCAAGCTTGTTAACAAGTTGTGACAATGCTGTTCCAGCAACTTGTCAACAAGATATCTCCTTGACAGGCTTGTAGCAAGCTTGTTAACAAGTTGTGACAATGCTGTTCCATTACAACTTGTCAACAAGATGTCTCCTCAACGGCTTTGTAGCAACCTTGTTAACAAGTTGTGACAATGCTGTTCCAACAACTTGTCAACATTATCTATTCAACGGGTTCGTAGCAAGCTTGTTAACAAGTTGTGACAATGCTGTTCCAACAACTAGTCAACAAGATTTTTCCTCAACAGGCTTGTAGCAAGCTTGTTGACAAGTTGTGAAAATGCTGTTCCAACAACTTGTCAACAAGATTTTTCCTCAACAGGCTTGTAGCAAGCTTGTTAACAAGTTGTGACAATGCTGTTCCAACAACTTCACAACAAGATTTTCCTCAACAAGATTTCTCCCCAACAGGCTTGTAGCAAGCTTGTTGACAAGTTGTGACAATGCTGTTCCAACAACTTGTCCACAAGATTTTTCCCCAACAGGCTTGTAGCAAGCTTGTTAGCAAATTGTAACAATGCTGTTCCAACATCTTGTCAACATGATATCACCTCAACAGGCTTGTAGCAAGCTTTTTAACAAGTTGTAACAATGCTGTTCCAAGAACTTGTCAACAAGATTTTTCCTCAACAGGCTTGTAGCAAGCATGTTAACAAGTTGTGAGAATGCTGTTCCAACAACTTGTCAACAAGATTTCTTCTCAACAGGCTGGTAGCAAGCTTGTTAACCAGTTGTGACACTGCTGTTCCAACAACTTGGCAACAAGATTGTTCCTCAGCGGGTTTGTAGCAAGCTTGTTAACCAGTTGTGACAATGCTGTTCCAAGAACTTGTCAACAAGATTTTTCCTGAACAGGCTTGTAGCAAGCTTGTTAACAAGTTGTGACAATGCTGTTCCAACAACTTGTCAACAAGATTTCTTCTCAACAGGCTTGTAGCAAGCTTGTTAACCAGTTGTGACAATGCTGTTCCAACAACGTGTCAACAAGATTTCTTCTCAACAGGCTTGTAGCAAGCTTGTTAACCAGTTGTGACAATGCTGTTCCAACAACTTGTCAACAAGATTTTTCCCCAACAGGCTTGTAGCAAGCTTGTTAACAAGTTGTAACAATACTGTTCCAACAACTTCACAACAAGATTTTCCTCAACAAGATTTTTCCCCAACAGGCTTGTAGCAAGCTTGTTAAAAAGTTGTAACAATGCTGTTCCAACAACTTGTCAACAAGATTTCTTCTTTACAGACTTGTGGCAAGCTTGTTAACCAGTTGTGACAATGCTATTCCAACAACTTGTCAACAAGATTTCTTCTCAACAGACTTGTGGCAAGCTTGTTAACCAGTTGTGACAATGCTGTTCCAACAACTTGTCAACAAGATTTCTTCTCAACAGACTTGTAGCAAGCTTGTTAACCAGTTGTGACAATGTTGTTCCAACAACATGTCAACAAGATTTCTTCTCAACAGGCTTGTAGCAAGCTTCTTAACCAGTTGTGACAATGCTGTTCCAACACCTTGTCAACAAGATTTTTCCTCAACAGGCTTGTAGCAAGCTTGTTAACAAGTTGTGACAATGCTGTTCCAACAACTTGTCAACAAGATTTTCCTCAACAAGATTTTTCCCGTACAGGCTTGTAGCAAGCTTGTTAACAAGTTGTAACAATGCTGTTCCAACAACTTGTCAACAAGATTGTTCCTCAACAGGCTTGTAGCAAGCTTGTTGACAAGTTGTGACAATGCTGTTCCAACAACTTCTCAACAAGATATCTCCTCAACGGGTTTGTAGCAAGCTTGTTAACAAGTTGTGACAATGCTGTTCCAACAACTTGTCAACAAGATTTTTCCGCAACAGGCTTGTAGCAAGCTAGTTAACAAGTTGTGACAATGCTGTTCCAACAACTTCACAACAAGATTTTCCTCAACAAGATTTTTCCTCAACAGGCTTGTAGCAAGTTTGTTAACAAGTTGTTACAATGCTGTTCCAACAACTTCACAACAAGATTTTCGTCAACAAGATTTTTCCTCAACAGGCTTGTAGCAAGCTTGTTAACAAGTTGTGACAATGCTGTTCCAACAACTTGTCAACAAGATTTCTCCTTAACAGGCTTGTAGCAAGCTTGTTAATCAGTTGTGACAATGCTGTTCCAACAACTTGTCAACAAGATTGTTCCTCAACAGGCTTGTAGGGAGCTTGTTAACAAGTTGTAACAATGCTGTTCCAACAACTTGTCAACAAGATTTCTTCTCAACCGGCTTGTAGCAAGTTTGTTAACCAGTTGTGATAATGCTGTTCCAACAACTTGTCAACAAGAATTTTCCTCAAGAGGCTTGTAGCAAGCTTGTTAACAAATTGTAACAATGCTGTTCCAACAACTTGTCTACAAGATTTTTCCTCAACAGGCTTGTAGCAAGCTTGTTGACAAGTTGTGATAATGCTGTTCCAAGAACTTGTCAACAAGATTTTTCCTCAACGGGTTTGTAGCAAGCTTGTTAACAAGTTGTGACAATGCTGTTCCAACAACTTGTCAACAAGATATCTCCTCAACGTGTTTGTAGCAAACTTGTTAACAAGCTGTGACAATGCCGTTCCAACAACTTGTCAACAAGATGTCTCCTCAACGGGTTTGTAGCAAACTTGTTAACAAGTTGTGACAATGCTGTTCCAGCAACTTGTCAACAAGATCACTCCTCAACAGTTTTGTAGCAAGTTTGTTAGCAAGTTGTCACAATGCTGTTCCAGCAATTTGTCAACAAGATGTGCTTGCAATAGGTTTGTAGCAAGCTTGTTAATAGGTTCAGTGTTGTCGCTTTTTTGACTACTTGCCAGGGAAGTTGGACAAAATAGTCGCTGAATAAAATTGACATGCCATCAGGTATTGGCCTCTGGGGTACCTAGGTAGGGGGTATAAATTAAGGGAACAACATGTCGACCCGTTCTTCCACTGCTCTATATGGCCATGTTATACTACCTCAGATCTAGCTTTGGCCCACAAAAAACAAAATTTGAATCAAGTCCGTGCACTATAAAAATTATATTCGCCCAATGGGAAATGGGCTTGAATGTACCTAGTTTTTGTTATTTTTAAAATATGCGCACGCCTGAGCGTATCTATTTTTTCTCTTCGCAGCTCTTCTGAAGCGGTGTCCAGTATGTCAATTTTGGACTTTCCATTTGTCTTGGAACCAGCTTCAAAGGTATAAATGTTTGAACTTTGAATAGCCCTACGACATTTGCAAGTTTTGTATTAACGGCTTATTGACCGAGCGTGAGGTCTGTACTGTGAAATACCAGACCGAGGTTTTTTGGTCGAGGTCTGATATTTCACAGTACAGACCGAACAAGCGAGGTCAATAATCGGTTGATTATATGGCTGAACTGAGTCTGTGAGCATATGCTTTTCACGCGAATTAAATCGGCTATCGTCAGTTTCACTGGGTAACAATATACGGTAGGCATGCATGTTCAATCAAAAACAATTTGGTTGTTTGAAATTTTTATCTGTAAATTTCATTGACACACAATTGGAAAATTAAAAAGCAAAATTTTTTTTGTTTGCAAAGCAAAAATTTCCCGCCAGATAAACGACATCCGGGACACCGGTCCAGATACGGAAAATACGGACCACGGTCCGGATATGGGTTTTACGGACCGCTTGTCAACTAATCAGAATAAAGAATTTTGAAAAGCCATATAATAATAATTTGTATTACGCATGGGAAAATGCACCACTTTCTGCCGAAATGCGGTTAATGTTGGGTCAGCAAAATGTTTACCAAGAAAAACATTTCTTTTCGGTGCCCCATAAATAAAGACCTGTCCCTAATTTGCAGGCCTGCACACAGTCAGCTGAATGGCACGAATACTTCATTTAGGTTCGTATCATGCGCATACACGCAATGCGCCAGATGGGCCTGGAATACCGCGACGCCATTTTGTACCAAGCTAAAGTCAATCAAGCGAAGAAAGTTTACGAAGATGGTGAAATGACTGTTGAAGATAGTGTCAAGTCCGCCATGAGTCCATTTCTTGTTCTGGAAGTGCGTCGAGATCACCTCATTGAAGATACGCTGGTTCAGGTTAAATTAAAGGTAGTATCCGAACGGAGTATTCTACAATAAGGCAAAAAAAAATATGTGGGTTTCCGGTTTCTTCTTATAAAAATTTAGGTAGGGTCTGTCGGTTTTAACCTTTTTTTTTAAACTTTTTTTTTTAATTTTCCGAAAAAGCGGACGCCATTTTGTTTAGTTAGTGCTTCCACATCCAAAGATAAATTTCCCTAATATTGCCTCAAATTTCAATTTTCCACAAACTTTTTCCTCTAAGTGGAAACACTTACAAGCATGATCCAACAAAAAAGTTTAGGGTCGGGATTTCGACGTCCAAAAGCTAGGTAGGGTCGGGAAACCGGAAACGCACATATTTTTTTTGGCGTAATGATCTACAATTTAATAGTTCTATTGAGTTAGATGCCCACAAAGTATCGTATTTACTCGTTTGAGCGCCGCCCCCGAATGAGCGCCGCATCTGAAGCTTTGAAAATTTAAAGAGCGCCGCGACGCCCAAACGAGTAAATACGGTATGCCTGTTTTCAAACATCGGGGCTACTTTACATACATTGGGGGCTTCGGTGGCGAAGTGATTAGCGCACTTGCCTTCCAGCCCTAAAGTCGCAGGTTCAAACCTCAGTGAGAACTTCCTCAATGCGACCCGAACCCAGTTCCCACACGGACTCGAAAGTCGTTCATTATTTTTACGATAAACTATTTGTTTATTAGCATCGCCTGAGTCATGTTTTAGTCGGAATTTTAGCTCAGCTGCCGTTTAGTATACTGCACATTTTCGGTGACGATTAATGTGTTCTATACTTTATCTGTCGTGATAACTTAACGCTTTAAATTTCCGGTACCAAAATGAGAACGGAAGTGAAAACATCGGTGTTGGTATTGGAAGTCGAACTTAAACTCTCTTGTGTTTAAGTTAGGACGGATGATCAAACGTCTTGTGGAAAAATCTGTCTGGTATAAATCCCGCCAATGACAATGATTTCGTATGTGAATTTCAGGAGAATGATTTAAAGAAAGCTCTGAAGATCAGATACGTGGGCGGAGGCGAGGAAGGACTGGATCTAGGAGGTCTACAGAAAGAATTCTTTCATATTATTATTAATGATATCATACAACCTGGTAAGTGAATAACGTTTGATACAGAAATAGCTTCTGAAATAGGACCGTGCTTTTAAGATGCACCAAAATATGAGAGGGGCATGGACAACCCATACAATAGTGTACCCTGACATGGTCAGAAATGATGGACATGATTATTCTACTTTACATGATCCTGATCAAAGTAATCGCAATAGAAATTTTTTCAGTGGTAAAGTGTGTGAAAAGTTGTTCTGATTAAAATATTAAAAATCAAAAAAAATCCCTTCGGTGGAACATGATGAAAATCAAGTTTTTCTTACTTCTACACCTATAGAAAACCATTGCGGACAAAATGTTGAAATTTTGAAATTATTTTTTTGCAGGTATAACATGCATCATTGGAAAGCTTAGAAAAAATTAAATTATAGATCATTAAACGGCTACCTTGCTTTTGAATGCTGCTGTTAGGGTTTGTCATCCAAGTGGCTACTATGATACATTTAAGACCTGACCAGGAACGACTGCGAAAAATGCAGCACAAGGTCCTCTGGTAGGAATTGAACCTACGGCCCTGCGATTCCGGTGCAGCGCTCTAACCAACTGAGCTACAGAGGCCAGCTGTTACTGCAGCTGGTCTCTGTAGCTCAGTTGGCCTCTAACAGCTGGCTTCTGTAGCTCAGTTGATTAGAGCGCTGCACCGGAATCGCAGGGCCGTAGGTTCAATTCCTACCAGAGGACCTTGTGCTGCATTTTTCGCAGTCGTTCCTGGTCAGGTCTTAAAATGTATATAGTAGCCACTTGGATGACAAACCCTAAGAACAGCATTCAAATATTAATACCACCAAGTGACGTGCAGAAAACCAGATCATTGAAGTCTACCTTGCTTTTGCCTATCCAGCCGAAGTTATACAAGATTTAAAATGCCATAAATTTGTATTTTGTGCAAATTTTGCGCTATTTTTCCAACTTTGAGCTAGAATAACGACAAACTGACCAGTAAATTAAATATAACGGTTAAATAAATTGAATATAACGGTTTTAATAATTGACCTTTATATAGTTTTGTTTAAGCTTTCCAATAATGTAGGTTACATTTACCTAGAAATGATTTCAAAATTTGAACATTCTGTCCACAATGGTTTTCTATAGGTAGAAGTAAGAGAAACTCGATTTTCACCATGTTCCACCGAAGGGATTTTTTTGGATTTTTAGTATGTTAATCAGGACAGCTTCCCTCACATTTTACCACTGAGAAAAATTCTATTGCAATTTCTTTGACCACTGGTCACATATTGACTGGACTACCTTGAAATATGGCTTCTGCAGTAAACAGTAAATTATATTACGCGATACTGTAAATTGCAAAATCAGAGAACACGGTAGGTCGTTTGCAACTTGCCCCAGTTGCTTGTTGGAGAACAAAGTTCGTAGAAAGATTTAGTGTAGTGTTTGCCTGGTGTAAGTTACTGCCTATTCTGCATTTTCGTTTGTTCCTCGTGGCAGTAGTGCTGTATTCTTTTATATAGAGTTAAATAGACAAATGTCGACAAATGTCGCTGCCAGTGATTGAGGCAAGTTGCAAACGACCTACTTTATTCTCAGATTTTGCGATTAACAACGTCACGTTATATAATTCACTGTTTATACTGTTGAAGTCATATTTCAACGTGATATCCAAATTACGAAAGAATTAGAATAAATCACGTCCGCAATTTCTGGTCATGTATATATAGCCCGCAATTTATGCGATATTTTTCAGACTATGGAATGTTCACCTATCTGGAAGAAGTGGAACGAATGTGGATCAATTGCAACTCCCTGGAGCTGGAGTCTGATCTGCTCTTTGAGCTAGTAGGGACGTTGCTGGGTGTTGCTATATATAACGGGATAATATTGGATCTTCATTTCCCTCCTGTGATCTACAAGAAACTTCAAGGTTGCAAGACAGACCTCGCGGACCTCAAGGATGTACAACCATTGCTAGCGCGAAACTTGCAATCATTGTTACAGTATGATGGTGATATCGAGAGTACATTCTGTTTCACATTTGAGGTATTGTATGACGGAACCTTCTCGAACACTACAGTAAAACCCCGCATAAAAGAGGGTCCTGAAGGGGGGGGGTCCCAATCCCATTTCCCACCTGAAATTTTGGCAAAATTCCAGTCCCAGTTGGATTTTTATTAGAAACCCAGTCCCAGTTATTGAAATCCCAGTCAATAAAAAACCCTTTATTTATCGTTAGAATAAACAGTTTTAAGACCTTTTAAGCAAGTGGCGGACACTTTATGAAATATTAGGGGGGGGCTCGTGCCGAAGGCACGGAAAATTTTTAAATTTGAATCCCAGAAATGGCATTTGCAGCATTCTGAGACACACATAATCAGAAAACCCAGAATTCCTGGCGCCAGAGTATGCCGTTATGTTAGGAAATTAAAACAGGAAGTTAGGAAAATTTAAAATGAAGTTTGGAATATTGCAACAGCCGATAGGAACATTGCAAAGAGTTTTTCAAATTTGCAAAGCTAATGAGGAAAATTCCAAATGAGTTACGAAGTCAAATGAGTTACGAAGTCAAAAGAGGAACGCTTCACGTAGTTTACCTGTAACACTCGTTTCAAACTTGTTACAACAACTGGGAACAAGCAGTGCGAACACAACTTGTCGACAGCTTGTGTACATATTTGTGACAACTTGTTTGCAGACCTGTAACAACTTCTGCGTTTTTACGTGTATATTGGGAGTGGTATTAAACACACGTGAAAACGCAGCAGACTTGTAGCAATGCTGTTCCAACAACTTGTTCCTGTTAACAACTTGTAACAAGCTTGATGGCATTATCAGACTTGTTGAAGGTTGTTCTATAATAAGTCCCATACAGTCATGATATAACAAGAATGTTACAAGGTTGACGGCACAAGGTTGTAACAATATTGTTGTATCATGACTGTATCGGACTTGTTGGAACAACCTTGCAACAAGCCTGATAATATCAGCAAGGCTTTTACAATTGTTAACAAGTTGTTCCAAACTTGTTGACAACTTGGGACAAGCAGTGCGAACACAACTTGTTGATGGCTTGTTGGCAGACTTGCTACAAGATGTGAGATTTTACTCCCAATAACTCGAGCATACCACTTCTGTTACAGATCTCTCGCCCATTTTTTGATCGGGTTAGCACGGTCAGCTTGAAAGCCAATGGTGAGGATATAGCAGTTACAAATGAGAACAAAGAGGAATATGTTCATCTCTATGTTGACTATCTACTCAACAGAAGTATTGCTCCACAGTTTGACGCATTGTCACGTGGCTTTCATAAGGTAACACATTTATCAGGGCTTTTTTTTACATACAAGCTAAGAGTCAAATGCCCCCAGTCCCGTTTTGTGCCCCTCCCCCACGAAATCACATTTTGC